CCCAGCTACTCAGGAGGCTGAGGCAGGAGAATTGCCTGAACCCAGGAGGCGGAGGTTGCGGTGAGCCGAGATCGTGCCATTGCACTCCAGCCTGGGTAACAAGAGCAAAACTCCGTCTCAAAAAAAAAATAAAATAAAAAAATAAAAAATAAAAAATAAAAAGGAGTATCCACAGCTACTTGCACTCTGCTGCCCTTCTCCACACCATGCTAATCCATTTGAAATCGTGGACCTTTGAACAGAAACTTCTGCAGTAAACAGCACCAGGGACAGAACTTGCTATGCTAGCATGCCAGCTCACTTGAAGCCACAAACCTTAATAACCTCTTTTCCTTCCTGGCCAGATGAACCCTCTTATCCCTGGTGAGGGCCAGGAAAGCTTCCAGGTAGATTTCTGAGAACTGTAGGTACCCATTATTAATAAAGTACATAAAAGTACTGGATTTAAACTATGTTCTTTTTGTGCAATGAGAGTTTGTGGAATCTTCCATATTTTGCCTGTACCTCAGCCTCCGTGTAGTGATAGAAGCAGGAGTAGAAAAGTGTTGTCACTAGTGGCATGTTGAGGATGGAAGCTTTGCGGGGGTGCTTTCGGAAGATCTCAGTCTGTCCTGCTGATTCTAAATGGCGATCATTTGCCTGTGGTGGAGTGAGCCAAGTAAAAACAAACAAACAAACAATGTCCATGGAGTAGAGGCAGGAGAAAAATCTTTTAATACTATAGCAGTGTGTTTCCCACCCTACGAATGAAACAAAGAGAAGAAAAAGAAATTGCCTAGGATATCCCCAGGGTAGTTTAAAATCCAAAAAATAATCATGGATCCAAGTTGGATGGAAACAAATAAAACTGGTGATGACATGGGAGATTTGAGATGAAGAAGAAATACTTCCAGGTTAACAGCTGGTAAGAGGAAAATGGATCATAAGAGCAATGGAGGAAGGGGCTATTGTGTAAAGGGAGAAAATGAAAGGCTTTCAGAAACCAACAAATGACCCACGACCAGAGCATAGAAATCTCCTAGATGTTGAATGGCACTGAGCCTGGGCACTGAAGCAGAAGATGTAGAGATGAGGAGTCTAACCTCAATAATGATCTGACGTTCCAGGAGCGTGTAATGGTCCTGTATGTGTGCAGAATCTTCTGCTGAAAATGGCAAACTGGTAGAGTGCCAGAAGGTTAGTACCTTTCTCTATTCAAAAAAGGAAACAAACCCAACTAAACCAAATCACCAGCATAAGAGGCTCATGGTGTCTCACAAGTCTGATCTCAGTTTACCTTTAGAGTCCCTTAAAGGAAGAAAGACATAGCATGTGAATTTCACATTAAAGGTTTTCCCAATTCAAGAGGGATCTTGAAAGTCCAAAAAATACTTATAGTCACTCATAATTTTGCTGATAAATGAATTAGAATCTTCTGATTTGGGGAGTTGGAATATTTGGTGAATGAGTCACAAAGCTAATGAGTCATCCCAGTAAAATTCTGTGGCTTGTGCTTCACTTTACTAAGGGGACACTTAGATTTGTAAAAAAGCCACTTTTTTACTGCAGAGTAAAAAAAGTAAATTAAATTACATGGCATGGTGGTAGGTTTACAGATTGGCAAATATCACAAAGGTCAAGGGTCTCATCTTCAACAATGCATTACGTTTTTATACGCATTACGTTTTTATACATGAAGATGCTGAGGGATAGCATCTTGCCAAAAAGTCATGTGTTCAGTCAATGGGGAAGGCCAGGAATAGAAGCCAGATTTTAAATGTCCAGTTCACAGGCCTATCCTTTAGAAAGTGTGGGCCGGGCGCAGTGGCTCACATCTCTAATCCCAGCACTTTGGGAGGCTGAGGCAGGCAAATCACCAGGTCAGGACATCAAGACTATCCTGGCCAACATGGTGAAACCCCATCTCTATTAAATATTAAATACAAAATTTAGCTGGGTGTGGTGGCATCCACCTGTAATCTCAGCTACTCTGGAGGCTGAGGCAGGAGAGTTGCTTGAACCCAGGAGGCGGAGATTGCAGTGAGCCAAGATCGCACCACTGCACTCCAGTCCGGTGACAGAAAAAAAAGAAAGAAAGTGCTGCATTATTCCCCATACTCCACTCCCTCCAGGAAGAATTCTGAGATTTAATTACACTATTCTAGATAAGTTTGAGCCACAGTGAATTTTTAGAAGAGATAAAGAAAGATGTTATAAATTCCAATTACTTCACTATTTTAACTTTTCTCCTTGTTTTCTAGAGGTCATATAACATATCTCAGTATTTGGTAACACTAAATGGATTTCACTGATATAATCAAATGTCTATACATGAAGCCAGGAAATCATGTCACATGAGGAATGGTTGAAACAACCATGAGCACTGAACCTGAAGAAGCAAGGACTACTGGGTAGCCTCTATACCTGTCTTGAAAGATACAGGGAAGCAAGTTTCAGTTAACATAAGGAAGCCCTTTCCAATAATGAAGGTTGTTCGAAAACAAATTGAGCTGTTTCAACAGCAGCGGGCACCCCGTCACAGGAATACGATACGAGGGGCAGGGTTCTGTAAAAATTTAAATTCTGGATGAAAGCTTGCCCTGGATCAGTGGCTCTTGGACTTTGGGGTTTCAAGGACCAGTAACACTGAAAAAAAAAATACATCAAGTCCCTAAAGTATTGCTATCTTTTTACTACCTAAGGTCATAAAAAATGGTACAACTCATTTAACTACCAAATAAGGGAAGAAAAGTAAGGACAAAATCCTACAATAAAAGATAATCTTTCAAATTAAATAAATTTAGCTTTAGAAAAAAAAACTCTCTATATTTGTCTTTTTTTTTTTTTTTTTTCTCAGTTTACCACCAAGCAGTGGAAACTGTTGGGGAATAGTATGTGAAAACCACTGCATGAGATGACCTTTAATGATGCTGACATGATGCATTGCTAGCCCGTCCCATCCTACTTATCCATCCCACCCTTTTTTATTTTCTTCATTCCTTCTGTGTAAAGGTATTTATACTTAAAATCATTTCTCCCCTATACTTACCCAATACAGGTCTTAAGAAATTCTTTTCGTTTGTCAGGGTCCTGAATGTTCAAATGCTCTCGATAATGAGATAGCTACAAAAAGCAGAAAAAGGTTTTGAGGTATTTTGTCTCCTTAGATGAGGGAGATAGCTGAATAACTGAACTTCCCATGCTTTAAAAAAATAAATTCTTCATATCTAGGTATAGATGGTTATTGGGGTGGGCGGGTGGGGGGTTAGGCAAAGAGTGACTAAAAATCATTAGGTTTATCTATAACTGCACTGTATAATACAGCAGCCACTAGCTACAACTGGCTTTTAAAATTTAAATTAATTAAAGTTAACACTAGCCACTTTTTAAGAACTCAATAGCTACATGTGACTAGGGGCTGCTATACTGGACAAACATGGAATTTTGGGTTTTTTTTTTTTAGATAGAGTCTCACTCCTGTTGCCCAGGCTGGAGTGCAATGGTGTGATGTAAGCTCACTGCAACTTCCACCTCGCGGGTATGATTCTCTTGCCTCAAGCCTCCCCAGTAGCTGGGATTACGGGCGCACACCACCACAACCAGCTAATTTTTGTATTTTTAGTAGAGGCAGGGTTTCATCATGTTGGCCAGGCTGACCTCAGGTGATCTGCCCGCCTCGGCCTCCCAAAGTGCTGGGATTACAGACGTGAGCCACTGTGACCGGCCCAAATATGGAATATTTCCATCATTGTAGAAAGTTCTTTTAGCAAGTGCTGATCTATAATGAAGCACTAAGTAGACATAGTACTGAGCTTTACCCTTGTTTCATTTTAGCCTCAGTATTTAACCAAAAATGACTATTTTGCTTTAGCTTTAGATTTTGAAAAGTCAAAGAACTAAATACCTACTTCAGTGTTATTTCTGGCATCCCTGACCATGTACATGATCAATGGTAGTATGATCATGTAAATATCTAACAAATAACAATATCAGCAATACGAGAAGGGCATGTCATTCTGACTCACTGTTCATAAATATTCACAGATTGACCCAACAGATGTATATAAAAAAGGAAATGATAAACATAAATATATATAAAAATGTAAATGTAAAAATGTAATAAGATAGAATAACAGAAATTACATAACATAATCCAATCTTTGTAAAATATTTCATATAAAATATTTGGCATACAATCATTGCTAATATTAAAGAAAGTAACCTTTAAGAGCTATAGTTAATTTTTTTGTTACTCAATTCCATTTTAGCCTCAAGAAAAGTTCAGTCTTTCAAGAAAAATTCTACTTGGGAAACTTTCATATTCCATGAGGATACGCTAAAAGTTTTGCGACTTCCAACGTTTACCAGGTTAAAAAACCCCAAATCTATATACAACAACATGCGTGATATATCATCTTCAATTCAAACATGAGTATAAGGAAAACAAAGTTTTAGATAAAAATGAGTTACTCAAAACATTTACTCTCACTAATCAAATTCAAAACAAAAAACTTTATAAGAATGCTGTAAGAAGAAAAATACTTAGGTTTTAAATTTACACAGATTTAAAAATGTAAACAAGCAGCTTTTCAAGTGTTTACTACAGGCTGCCAATCATTTTCAGTTGATTAAGAAAAAAGACATTTCAGATTCTCCCATGCTTTGAATATCAAGTACAAGTTCCTTTCAGGAAACATGTTATTAAGCCAGGTGAGATGGCTCACATCTGTAATCCTAGCACTTTGGGAGGCTGAGGTGGGAGGATAGCTTGAGGCTAGGAGTCCGAGACCAGCCTGGCAAACAAAGTGAGACCGTCATCTCTACAAAAGATTTTTAAAAATTAGTCAGGAGTTGTAGCGTGCACCTGTAGTCCCAGCTACTTGGGAGGCTGGGGCTTGAGCCAGAAGTTGGAAGTCTGCAGTAAACCGTATGTAAACTACATGATCATGATCACGTACCCCTGTACTCCAGCCTGGGTGACAGTGAGACCCTGTCTCAAAAAAAACAAAAAACAAAACCCATATTACTGAAAAGCATTTTCAGTATAATACATATTATATATATAATTATATTATGCTGTGCAAAGGTTAACAATATTAAATGTGCCAACTGAAAGTGTGTATCGATATCATCACAAATGTGTTGTACAATAATTAAAAAAGCAATCCTGCCATCAACAATGCTGAGAAATTCTCCTTTTTTTTTTGGAGATAAGGGATTGTTCACCCAGGTATGACCTCCCAGACTAAAGTGATCCTCCCACCTCAGCTTCCCAGGTAGCTGGGACTACAGGCATGTGCCACCATGCTTGGCTAATTTTTTAAACTTTTTGTAGAGATAGGGTCTCACTATGTTGCCCAGGCTGGTCTCCAATTCCTGGACTGAAGTGTTCCTCCCACCTCAGCCTCCCAAGTGCTGGCATTACAGGCATGCGCCACTGTGCCTGGCTAGAAATTCTTATTCCTGCATTATGACAAGGGGGTTTTTTTTTTTGTTTGTTTTGTTTTGTTTTATACAAATTGCCAAAGTTGTAATAATACAATTGAGTTTTTGGTAAACTTTCAGATTTATTCTTGTATTCCAGGAGTTCATTCTATGATTTTGAAGATCTGCCAAAATTTAATCTTAACACTTGGCCATTGAATTCTCAGCCAAAATGTGTACTGGGTATAGCATCAATTTGACCTATCTTCCTTCTTGACCTATATTGGGTTTCTTATCCTCTCAGCCTTGAACATTTTCTTTGTGAGAGGCCAAAACCCCAAAACTCCTACCAACCAGGACCTGAAAACAACCAAAAAACAAATTACAAATTGACCAGGCCAATTTTCTCATATTTATTATTTTAAATTTATTCATAAGTCCAACCAAAAGAGCATATAAAAAGAAAATACATCATTCCAATTAAGTTTTCAGGTTTCCTAGGTGCCTCTCTCTTCTGTATATAATCAACATCTGTATATAATCAACATCAAAGGAAATAGTTCAATCAGTCTGGGACCTTGGAGGCTGGGATTTGGCTTAGATTTGTGTCTTCTGTGTTTTGTTTTTTGGTTTTTGGGTTTTTTTTGACAGAGTATTGCTCTGTTGCCCAGGCCGGAGCGCAATGGTACAATCGTGACTGACTGCAACCTACTCCTCCCAGGTTCAAGTGATTCTCCTACCTCAGCCTCCCAAGTAGAGGGGATTACAGACATGCGCCACCAGGCCTGGCTAATTTTTGTATTTTTAGTAGAGACAGAGTTTCACCATGTTGGCCAGGCTGGTCTTGAACTCCTGACCTCAGGTGATCCACCCACCTCGGCCTCCCAAAGTGCTGGGATTACAGGCATGAGCCACCACGCCCGGCCTAGATTTCTGTTAAACAGGTCCCCAACTGAAAAAAAGGCCACACTTACCGCAAGCTCTTCTGTTCTATCTAGGAACCTGGGAAGAAGCAGAAGGGGGCAGGGCATTTGTATCTATTGATGTGTGGCAGTATAACCTCACAAAATAGAGTGCCTGCTCTAGGAGAAATACAATTCAAACTCATTTCCCTCTATACACAAGATAAATAGTTGATCAGATATCATTGTTCCCCTGGTCCCTCTGGCTGAAAAAAAAGCAAGAACAAGAAGGTATTGCAAGGAACTAATAACTCTGTTATCAGTCTGACAGAGAGGTTCAGAGGCTCCACCTACTCTAGCCTACAGAAACCTTGTTGCTGTTGTTTTTAAAATTAAAACACTATTCTCTGTCAATACAACCTTGAAAACAGGTTTTCTATATTGTTCTTTACTGTTTTCAATGGACAGAGTACAATGTTTTGTCGCCCCCAAAGGCTTAGGTAAGACCTTGAAGTACCAGGACTTTTGTCTTCTGATTCTTTTTACTCTGAACAGACCACCAACATTAACATCACCACTTTGACATGGAGGTGATGCCTGATAAAGCCTTGTCAGTTGGAAAGAGGAAGGGAGGGAAGGAGGGAGGAAAGCAGCAGCCAGCCTCCGTGACATGTCTTCTTTTGCAAATTCCTGGCTAACACTTGTAATCTTGACCCTAACCAGGTAGCCTGCTTTTTCCCACCTCCTCAGTCTTTTGGGGAGCTCATTGCTGTGCTAGAGTCACTGGGTAATCAGAGTCATCCTGGGTCACATGTTAGCCTAAACAGAGGTTCTAACCCTTTCTCTGACACTGAAGAAAGGGCATCATATGCACACATTTTAATCCAAAGGTGGGAAATAGTCCCCACTAACTGGAATTAGTTAGGCAAGAAAAACAGACCTCAGCCCTCTTTACCCCCAGCAGACATGCATACCTCTCCCCTATCAGAATCCTACCTAGTTTCACAGGCCCATGCAAATCCTAATCACTTCCATGAAGCTTCCCTTGGGTATCCTGACTGAAAATATCTTCTTCTTCTCTTCTACTGTACTTCCCACTGGTATCACTTAGAATCAAATAATAACAGATACCTTTATTCTAGGCCTTTTATGAGAAAAACACTTAATAAATATTAATACTGCAAACTAGGTATTATGCTAAGTGCTGGTTCACATACTAGCTCTTCATCTTCATCATGAGCCTGTGGGTAGGTGTCATCATCTCCATTTGATAGATGTGAAAACTGCATGAAGAGGGTTGGTAACTTGGCCAAGGTCACTCCATGAGCAATGTGGTAGAACTATAATGGCATTCAATCCAACTGTGCGTGACTCCACAGCCTGGTTCTTAACCTTGCACCTTATCATAAGCTCTGCTGTACTGCTAGTTATCTCCTCACCCTTCAACAGCTTGTCTTCCAAGTATTTCTAGGAAAAGGGCAGTTGGTGTTTTCTATTCCTTTGGATCCTTCAGAGTGCTCTGAAATAAGTACTTACTAAACTTTATAGACTAGGCAATCAGTTCTTACCTGAAGAGGTCTAACAGCAGCTTTTGATCCCCTATTTCCTTAAGGAAGTGGATAAGATGTCTCAGGGCAATCTGTCGCACCTCCAGCTCTCGGAAGAGAATCTCTGGCAGACAGGCAGGAGTTAGGTTGAGAAAGATTAAAACCTATTAGTCAAGGGTGAAATTGGAGTCCCTACTCACACATTCCAAACACTATCTCATCAAAGCCTAACAAAAGCTAAGAATGAGGCCGGGCGCGGTGGCTCACGCCTGTAATCCCAGCACTTTGGGAGGCCGAGGCGGGTGGATCACAAGGTCAAAAGATCGAGACCATCCTGGTCAACATGGTGAAACCCCGTCTCTACTAAAAATACAAAAAATTAGCTGGGCATGGTGGTGCGTGCCTGTAATCCCAGCTAC